GGAACCACGGTGAGAGCCCCCACAGCCCACTGATGACCTACGAAGCCATGAGCCTGGATGTGCAGCACCTCCTGACCCGCCTGGGCATCACCAAGTGCATCCTCCTGGGACACAGCATGGGTGGCAAGACGGCCATGACACTGGCCTTGCAGAGGGTCGGCAGGGGCAGGGCTGCCGGGGGCGTGGGGGGGGTGAGCTCTGGGATCTGCTGGGGCAGGAGGCTGTAGGAGAGGGGGTGGCATCTGTAGGGGCTGTTCAGCAGTGCCAGCCTTGCCCACAGCCCCGCAGGGGGTGGCTTTTCTCTGTCACGGTCGGGAGTGCTGTCCCACTCAGAGCTCACGCTCTGTCCTGTCTATCTGGCACTGGGTGCAAGGGAGCTTGGAGATTTACTGTGCCAAGGCACAGGAAAGTGGGACCTTGGGGAAGCAAGCATGGAGCCTTTACTAAGGTGGGAGGGAGCTAAAAACCTCCAGGGAGTTGGACTAGGAGCGGAGCCCCAGTGGCCCAGTCCCACTGGGAAGATCTCGGCTGACATCCATCTGCCCTGCTTGTGTCCCCAGCCAGAACTGGTGGAGCGCCTCATCTCCGTAGACATCAGTCCCATCTCAACCATACCCGTCTCTGAATTCTCTGCCTATATCTCTGCCATGAAGTCGGTGACGATCCCATCTGGTCTGTCCCGCTCTGCAGCCCGCCAGATGGCTGACGAGCAGCTGCAGCCTGTGGTCCAGGTAGGAAATCCCGCTCCTTGGATGGGGTTTCTGCTCCCAGCCTGTCCCTGCAACTGGAGCACAGGGTTTTAGGGGCACAGTCCCAGCAGGACTTTTTCCATCCCTGTTCACTCACTGCTGTCGTGGGCAGCTGAAGACATCTCACCAGGGCTTGTAGGGGCCATGGAGAGTAACAGACTCACAGCATGGGAGATGGGCAGAACCAAGTGGAGGGGAGGACAGAGGGTGCCAGGACATCTTAAGGGCTTGTTGCTCTTCCTGAAGAGCGTACGATCTCTCTAGTACGTTCCCCTTTCGTGGCAGCTCCCGCAACTGAGACAGTTCCTCCTCACCAACTTGGTGGAAGTGGAGGGTCGTTACATCTGGCGGGTGAATTTGGAGGCTATTTCCCACCACTTGGCAGATATCATGAACTTCCCTGTCTTCCACAAGCCGTATCTGGGCCCTGCGCTCTTCTTGGGAGGATCCAAGTCACCCTATATCAGGTGAGACTGGAGAGAAGCAGTTCAAAGTCTGTGGGTTGACACCTTGTGCTTCTCTGCATCTGCTGAGGGTGGGAGGAAGCCCCTGAGATGGGGAAGGTCTTAGAGCAAGCTCTGGGCCTCCAGCGGCCAACTAGGGGAACCTGAGGGCAGCTGCAGGCTTTCCCAGCAGGGAGGAGGACATGATCAGACCTGGGATACCCCTCTGCTTTGGGGAGGGTGAGGGAAGACACCTTGATGGACCTCTGACTCTGCTTCCTATGGTGCATTGCCCTGTCCTGCAGCTCCAAAGACTACCCGGAGATCCGGCGCCTCTTCCCCAAGGCAGATGTCCAGTACATCGAAGGTGCAGGCCACATAGTCCATCAGGATAAATTTGAAGAATTCATCACTGCTGTCCTCAATTTCCTGCCACCGCCGTAGTGCCAGGGACCAGGGTTTCTGCAAACACCATGTGGGACGTGAGGAACTCTGGGCAATGATGGGGACTCTGTGAGAAGGGGCTCGTCCTGGACCTGCTGCCCAATTTGCAGTCCAAGCCTGCCTCCAGTGAGAGTCACCTCCATGCCGTGGAGCTCTCCTGCCACATCTCACAGGGATGTGGGGTGGCACTGGCCCAGGACACTGCCCTTCCTGCCTGTGCCAGAGTGTCTGGGGGCTAGGAGGGGGCAGGAGAGCCCTGTCCTCCTCCTGCTGCCAGACCACCCAGTTGAGGATCTGGCTGTGACTTTGTAGGAGGTGCAATAAAGCTTGAATCTATGCCAAGGCACAAAGTGGTTTGGATGTGGCTATGGAGGATGGGGAAATGGTGGTGGGCACAGGAAGGGTCTCCCAGGGATGCTGGTGGGAGGTGACAACTGGGCTGGGGCCGTGACGAGCTGTGAGACACAGGTTTGAGGATCTTTTGTGGTTCCGAAGGGGAATTGTGTCCTTCTACCACCTCAGGCAGCGGGAGGATCAGGGTGGGGAGGAAGCTGCCCCCTGAGCAAGGAGATGCTCTGAACCTGCACGGGGGAGGCAGGGGAGCCCCACCAGAGCCTCTGCCCAGGCCCCCCAAAGGCAGGCATCCCCTCATCCCCAAGCTCCCTCCGATTTCTCACCTCCCACCTACTCACAGCATGCCCCAAGAAGGCAACGTAATGAGCACCCACCCACCATGGGCTAAAGGAGCAGAGCTGTCGGCTGTGAAAATCCCTTTATTAAACAACGGGTAAAGCTGGAGACGGGGCGGAGGCAGCTGTGGGGGTGACGGATCATCTGTCACAACTGGGGACAGGCTCTGGGGACAGTTAAGAGAGACACTAACGAGCTTTGCATTTGGTGCTGCAGAGCCAGGCTCCTTGAGAATTTTCTCAGTTTGGGGTTGTCTGGAGGCCACAAAAAGAAAAGGAAGAGAGGAGACCAAGGACTTTTATTCCAGGTCTGTTTGTAATTTCCAAGCAGAGGGGGCACAAGTAGCTGGTTTGGAGATTCAGCATTTCTGCAGTTTTTCTTGGCTCTTCCTCTTGTCCTTTCCTTTTCTGAAGAAGTGTTTCTCACTGCAGCCGGGCTGTGTTCATACCTTGAGCTTTCCGCTGTGTTAGCCTCAAACTCAAGCACTTCTGCTGTCTTGTTATTTTTTCACCTGTGAAGAACATTAGACCGAGAAGCTCTGTGACACAGGCTACTGAAATGAGTTTCTTGAGTGAGTTCTTTTCTCTCCTACAGCCAGCTGGGAGATGGGGATGGAGTCAGGCTACTGTCTGGGCCTGGCTACCAGCCCATGAGTCCTTTGGCTCCCCTGTCTGAGCCACCAGGTCCAGAGCCCAGGAGTGGTGGGGGGTTTCTCCCCACTCCTCCTCACTGGCCAGTGCCAGGCTTGGGGCACAGACAGAAGCTGCTGCAGAGGAGCGGGGTGAGGAGACTCACCATGGGCAGATCAGTGGCCTGGGAAGAGGTACAACTTTCTGAACATAGTGATCCGATCTTGAGATGGCAACTGCCGAGGGAATTTTTCAAAGGAATGTTGGACCTGGGGTGAGAGAGACAGCGGGGAGAAATGAGAGCGGCTCCGCTCCCAGCGTGGGAAGGGTGCAGGGAGTCAGGAGGCAGCCCCAGGGGCAGCCCCGGGCATGTGTCTGGTGGCACAAGGGGTGCCAGGCGCTGAGCCAAGACCCCAGGCTCTTGTGTGCCCACCATGTGGCAGGGTGCTGATGCCTCCAGAGATCCAGCTGAGTTTCCAGGACAAACCAGACACCTTTTTGACAGAGCCTGCTCCCCAGGGGCCTACCCTGGCACAAGCTCTGCTCTGTGCGGCATTTCTGACCACCAGCATAGCTGCATCTGCTGGCATGCCTGCAGGTAACTAGAAAGCCTCACCTTTCGGAAGATGTCCTGTAAGTCGCTGTTACAGGCATGGTTTCGAAACTGCTCTATCAGGCACTGGATGAAAAGGGAGCCTGTTACTGGGCTTCTCCAGGACATGGTATCTGGGGAGACAGAAGATGCCAAGTGCAATTTCACTGGTGTCCCTCACTGCAACAGTGATTGACGCTGGGTGCTGGAGCACTGTGGGCATCTTCTCTGAGATCATTATATTTAGCCCACCCAACCCACAGCATGGGAAAAGGACAGGGCATCCCAAGGAGGACAGAAGTGATGTATTTTTGCCAAGCCTCTCCAGTCTCCCGTGCTCCCAGCCATGCCAACTGCCAGGCTGGCACAGCCCAGAGCCATCTGTGAGCCAGCAGAAGACAGTTTCCCCCAGCCAGCCCCTCCAGTGAGATAAATTGGCTGGGGAAGGAGCATAGGCAGAGCTGGTGCTCTGGAGGGGGACAGCAGGGCAAGGCATCCAGGCAGGGGCACAGAGCTCTGGCCCTGGTACTGCTCAGAGGGATCAGTGGGTGTCCTGGAGCAGCCTTGTACCCTGGCATGGGGGGACGCTGCCTTCTCCAGAGGCTGTTGGAGCAATGCCCACGTGATCACTGGATAGTAGGGACCCCCAGCAATTCCCCCCCACCAAGGAGGAGGAGGTGTGGAAGAGACTCCTGGCATCAGGAATGGGAGTCCTGTCCCACTCGCCTGCCCTCAGGCAGGGCAGCTACCTCCAGGAGCTGCTTACCAGGTGTGGAGGAATGTAAAGTGGCAAAATCACTCTCCACATGGACTTCACAGATTGCATCATCATCTAGCTCCACAGGGATTGCATCAGCTGAGCTGGAAGCAGGGTCTGCAGAGTCGCTCACCATCACGGACCCAACCTTGCCTAGGGAGGTAGGGCCAGCCATCAGCAGTGGTGTGTGTCATGTACACCCCCATCCTTGGGGCTCACATGCCCTGGGAGAGCCTGGCCAGCCACTCGCCTTGCAGACACCTTGCAGTGGGGACTCACCTCCACGGCAGGACTGGATAATGATCACTTTGGGTTTGCCCAGCAGCCCCCGGCAGTGCTTGTTGTTGAATATCTCGTAGATGGTGTCGAGGGACAGGATATCTGTGGTCTCGTCCCTGCTCTTGGTCCCGCAGAGCCCGGCTCTGACCCCGTGGGACATGAAGACCAGGAAGGTGCTGTCAGAGGTGCAGTGCTCCTTGTGATCTGCAAAATCCTTCATGACCGCAGCCATCTCCTACAAACCAGCACAAGGAAGGAACATCAGCCACCTGTGTCCAGCTATGTGAAGACCAAGCCACCAGCTGTGGGCAGGAGCCACTGCCACTGGGGACAGAGGTGTTTCTGTAGGGCCCAAGCCACCCCCCCAATGCACGCAAGGGGAGGGTCTCTGCGCCACTCTGGGGCCAGCAGCAACTGCTTTGTACAGTCCTTCACCTGGGAAGTTAAGTTGAGGTGGACGTCCACTGTGTACCCCAGCCCTTCCAGCAGCTTTGTCATCCCCTCCACATCCACTTCAGCCCCGTTCCGCCGGCTCAGGCACTCAAACTCAATGTTGCAGATGAGCAGGGCCCTCCGGGTTCGCGTCTCCCGGGGCAGGTGAATGGGGTAGATCTGCGAGGAGGGAGGAGGCAGCACTCAGTGGTGGCTGGGTGCAGGGGGCTGTTCTGGGCAGGCAGCTAACAGCAGAGAAGGCCCCAAGTGCAGCAACCACATTTCCCTGTCCCTGGGGCATCTCCCCCCATGTCTTCACCCGCTCTCACATCTGAGGACCCTGGCTCCCCTCGGCAAGCCCTTGGCCCGCTCCGGCAGGGCAGCCAGGCCATGCTCCAGCCCTCCTCTGCTCTCTTCTGCCCACAGCACCTGATGTCCCTCTGTGTCCCTGATGCGCTGGTACTCGCTCAGGGAGCACTGCCGGATCCACTGCTGGCCCTGGATATCGACAGGGGGCTTGGGGAGGGGCACAGTGGCTTGGGAGGCCCATGGCTCAGCAGGGGGTCCTGCAAGCAGAAAGCCCCATGGTTACACTGGGAAGCACTGGCAGCAAGAGGTGACTATCGCAGGGCACAACCAGGCGAGCAGAGCTGGGCTCTGCCCCATGGGATGGCCACCCCTGAGAGCCTTGTTGTTGCTGAGGGGCAAGGGGGGCTCAGTGACACGGTGACACTGGGGACATCCAATTGCCCCTTGCCTTCAGGCCTCAAACACCCACCATGGCCAGGATCCCCTCCAGCACCCCACTGGAGGCACCAGGACCCCCAGCACAGTGTGGGGGGCAAACTACGGCCCCGCATCTCTCACCCAACTTGGCAGCCAGACCCAGCTCCTTCGCCAAGGTGGCATCGCGATTCTGGAGGCTGTCGATGAAGATCTGGCTGGCCCTGCAGCCCTTCAGACGCACGCAATCGATGAGGCAGCGGGCCTTGTCAGTGCGCACTGTGTGCCTATCCTGCACCTCGTCCACCTCCTCGAGGCTCAGCACGTTTTGGGCCAGCAGATCGTCCAGCAGCTTAGAGAT